CAAGGCACAGTTCGAGTTTGACGCCAGTCTGTGGTCTATCCCGCCAGAGCACCGCATAGTGCACACTTTTCACGACACGAAACGCAGTGACTATGCGACGCAAAAGGATGTGTATGAACTTATCGGGAAGGATCTTGTGCCGCACGTGTTTGATGGATTTAACAGCTGCATTCTTACGTATGGACAGACCGGAAGTGGCAAGACGTATACAATGATGGGTCTATACGATCCCAATGCGTCGTGTGGGGGTGACGGGGAAGAAGGTATTATACCACGTGTTTCAAATGATTTGTTTTTAATTCTCACCACTAAACAAGCGGAAGAGGCAAAGAAAACTGAACTGCATGACCGTGTGCGGTTCCGCGTTGAGGTGAGCTTTGTGGAAATTTACATGGAGCGTGTGCGGGACCTACTGGATCCCGCACTGAAGAACTCGAAGGGTAATGAGAAGCTGCAGGACGCTCGGATTCGTCAGGATCCATACAGTGGGCCCTTTGTGGAGGGTGTGACAAAATACCAGGTGGAGAACTGGGCACAGTGTTGTTTGCTTCTGGAACGTGGCTCCATGCATCGAACGACGTGCGCCACGGCGGTACACAATCAGTCTAGCCGCAGTCATGCCATATTTCAGTTGACGGTCATTCAGGAACAGACAATACCTGCGAAGGACCGATACTCACGGCCGACCGTGCGTTGCCGGGCAGGACGCATCAATCTTGTCGACCTCGCAGGCTCGGAGCGCGGTGGGTTCCAGGACTACGTGAAGGAGTCCGCGGCGATTAACACATCTTTGTTGGCTCTCCGTCGTGTGATTGACAATCTGACAGAGCGGCAGAATATCCTTATGGAACAAGCAAAGGCGGAAATAACCGGGGCATACTATCAAGAGCGTACATTGCCGCAAGTCCCCTTCCGCGATAGCGTGCTGACGTGGTTGCTCAGTGACAGTATTGGGGGCAACGCGCGTACCACCATGGTGGCGACACTCAGTCCACTTGTGAAGAACTACGGTGACACTCTCGCAACCCTGCAGTGGAGCAGTAAAGCTCGAAACCTAGTGACGCTTGTGAAAGTGAATGACCCCTTGACGACGGTGACGGGCGGCATGGCAAACAAGGCTGGTGAGTTACACAATGCGGTGCGCATTCAACGACAGAACATGGACTCGCTGCGGGAGTCCCTGCGGCAAAAGCAGGAATTTGCAGAGCAACTAGAAAGGGAATCTCGATCCATGACGCGTCAGACGACGAAAAACAAGGAGGTACTGAGTAGTGTCATGCGGCAGTTCAACGCCGCCACCGTCCAACGCGCCCTGCATCGCGCTGTGTGGAAGAAAAATATGAACGTTTTGAAGGCTCATCATGATAAGCTTACTAGTCAGCTCTGCGAGAGAAATAAGGAGGTGGAAAACGTCTACATGAAGCAGTCCGCCGTGAAGGAGGAAATGGCAGCGCTGCAGCAGAAGTTAGGGGAGGAGCGTCAACGCGAGGAAGAACTACGTGTGATGATTGCGGAGAGGGAGAGCAAAGACGATGCTGCGGAGAGTGTTTTTACTGCTTTGGAGGCAGAGTACAATGCCGCGCTGAAACAATTACGTACAGATGTGATTACGCAAGGAGACGCTGCGGATGCGCATTCTGAACTGCCAAGTGCCCGACGGCGCGTTGATGCGGCCCGGCAGAATGTCGACGAAACCAACCAGAAGGCTGACATGATGGAAGCAAAGATTAAGGAAAGCAAACAGAGAAGCTGGCGCGAGAAGATTGCGCAAGATGAACGAGATGCCATGGAACTGCGAAGTGAACGCAACGAGTTGCAGCGCAAATTAGACGACCTGCGATCGCAACAGGAAGAGTTGCGCACGGCATTGAAGAAGAGGAATAAGGGGAGAAAGTGATGAGGCCGGGGGATTCAGTGTAATTGAGAGCGGGTGTTTGTGTGTGTGTGTGTGTGTGCATTAATCATGCTGAGGTGCGTTAAGGGCACGGAGGTGAGTTGTATGTGTGTGACGCCTCCTGTGTTGTCATGGTTTTCACAGCGAGGGGACCCATGGTAACATGCAAAAGAAGAGGAGACGAGAAACACCGAAGGAAAGGAATGAAATGCATGGAAGGGCCGGGGAAGGGGGAAACACAAATAAGGCACACGAGATAATTGAAATAGGGTGAATTACATGTTGATCGACATTTTTTTTTTTTGTCTCTACTGAAGCCAACGGCGTGAGGATTGTTTTGATGCCAGCATGGAGTGGGTGGTTAGAATTGTTTGTTTGCTCGTTGGTTGGTTTTGCGCTTCATGGGCTCCCACATGTTTCATTCGTTGGAGTCGTTCCACCGCCACCACAGGCGCATTGACCCCTTCTTCAGCGTTACTGTTACGGCCATGCCGCTTTGGCATGCATGGGCTGCAGAGTGAATGGGCAGCCGAGAGGGAGTGGAGGGGCAGGAACGGTCTGGGGGTTGAGAAATGGAGGAGACCTCACGTGTCGCCCGTCTTATTAACGCAAAGAAAGTGCTGATGGTGTAGAGGACAGCAGAAAAATGCGGTAATTAAAAAAATTGAGGGAAGGAGGAAGGGCTAAAGGGTGGAAGGTCTGTGGGAAATTGCGAGTATTTGCCATGAAACAGTGGAAAAGGCCGAATAGAAAAAATATGAGAGTCAGGAAACATGAGTGCACGAGCCGTGTACGCAAAAACTCACATACGCTGAAGTAGAGAGGTTGGGAGAGAGAGAGAGGCAAAATACCTCTTATACGTATATATTTGTATGCATGCATATAATACCATCTTCCTATTGGCATACACACACATACATTTATATATACATACGTGCATACATACACAAAAATACAAATACGCAATGGTGTGATTTGAACTACTTCTCGAAGGTTTTTTTTTCTTTTTTTTTTTTTTTTTTTTTTCCTGCAGTAGATAAAAAAAAAAAAATCCTTTGTTTTATGTTTGTTATTTGTAGGAGTAGTAGTCTTTATTCTGTATTTTTTTTTTTTTTAATTTTTCCTTTTTTTTCCCCCTCCTTCTCCACACACAGTGTGTATCTGTGGAGGATGGGGGGGGGGGGGGGAAAGAAAAATCTTTTCTCAGAATAGAGTCGATTTTTGGTGCTGCTGATTTATATTTTCTGCTTGCGTAGTGGTGGTGGAGCTTTTTTTTTTTTGTTTTCTCATTTTCCACGGGGCAGTAATGACTGTTTATATTTGACTGCTGCGACCACCGTTTTTTTTTTTTTTTCCTCACCCTTTTGTTCCTGCTTGCCTCACTTGGCGCCACTGCTGGTGGTGGTGATATGGGAGTTGGGGGGTGGAGGGATGGTGCTGAGGTGAGAATGCGCAAACAACAAGAAAAAAACAAAAAAGAAAAAAGAAAGAAGGAAAAGAAACGGAAAAAGAGGGGGGAGAAATAGAGATAGAGAAAGCCGGAGATGAATTCTGTAAATGTCTGCGTGTACGCATGCCTTCCTTTTTTTTTTATTTTTTCCTTTTATTTATTTATTTATTTTTTTTTTTCGCACCGAATTTCATACATGTGTGTGCGACGGTACATGCCCTGTAGGCAGACGCACTGCACATTCATGTGTGCATGCAATCCATCTATGCATGCATGCATATATAAATATATGTATTTATGCCTCTTTATTTTCCCACTCTTCTTTTTATTTGTATCGAATGTGTGCAATGGCCCTGAATGCCTTTGAGAGAGACATCTTTATTACAGAGAAAGAAGCGACAACAACAAATCACCCAACCAATTAACAAGAAAAAAAAACAAGGTGATCATAGGGAGAGGCTGGGGGGGAAAGAAGGATAAATATCAAGGACGCACAATACGTGGGTGGCGAGGAGAGGGAGAAGGAGCCAGTGATTATCGTAGGCTAATATCCACGTTTTTTTTTTCCTTTTCTTCTTTTCAGAACTTCTCAAAGCGGGTTTTGCCGTTGAATTGGGAGGGTGCAGAAGAAGAAGAAGCAAAACACACACAACAACAACAACAACAACAACAACAACAACAACAACAAAAACAACGTGGGAGAAATAAAGGGGTTTGGGCGAAATGAAGCACGAGGAGGAGAAGCGTCAGCTGTACAACCGGCAGGAGTATGTTGTGGGCGTCGAGACGCAGGCAAAGTACGGCAGCACGGATGTTCTTGTTGTTGGTGCCTGTGGGCTTGGGGCGGAGATTGTGAAGAATCTCGCGCTCACTGGCGTTCGCTCCATCAAAATTATGGACAGTGGTACCGCAATTCTGCAGGATCTGGGCACGAACTTTTTCTTGACCCCCCAAGACGTCGGCCAACCGCGGGCGGATGTGGTGGCGCGTAGGGCGCAGGAATTGAATCGTTTCGTCCATATCACCGCCGTGACGAGTCCGCTGCACGAGGTGATCCCAGACGTCCACGTTGTGGTTTTCGTGAACCAACGCACCACCGCGCTCGTCGGCGAAAATGCACTTGCACGGAAGCATGACGTGAAGTTTGTGGCGTGTGAAAGCCGTGGCATCGTGGGATGCGTGTTTGTGGATGCGGGACCGTCCTTCAGCGTTTTGGACCCCGATGGCGAGGAGACGGTCTCCTGCATCGTGACGAGCGTCTCGCGCGACGGCGTCGTCTCTTTGCATGAGGACAAGAAGCATGAGTGCGAGGTTGGGAGCCATATCTTCTTTACCGGCGTTGTGTCACCTGCCGCCGTGAACGCCGACATTGACCCGTCCACGATTCATGGCCGCTGTCAAAGTGCCGCCTCTCCGTTACTGAAGTTGTTTGAAGTGGCGGAAGTCATATCCCCTTTCATTCTGCGTCTGAAGGATTTTGAGGCGGCAGTGGGAAATAGCCCCATTGAGGTCGGCACCGGCGCCTACCTTCACACAACAAAGCGACACGTACTCATGGGATTTAAGGACTTGGAGCAAAGTGTTGCCGATCCGACGTTTGTCTCCATCTTTGATAGTGAAGAGAAAGTGAATGCCCCAGCTACGTTGCACGCATTGTTTCGTGCCCTGCATGATCATGGCACATTGCCAACAACACCCACGGAAGTGAACAGTCTGTTGAATTTGGCAGAGGCATACCACAGCAGCTGCAACAGTGGCCATCTCGATGTGGAATTTTCCAAGAAGGCTCTTTCCGTGATTCATGGCAATCTGAACCCAATGGCGTGCCTGATTGCAGGCATCGCTTCACAGGAAGTGCTCAAGGTGTGCAGTGGCAAGTTTACACCCATACAGCAGTGGCTGTATTATGATGCAAGGGAGTTGCTTGTGGCTCGTGGCGAGGTCGCAGAAGCGGATCTTCGTCCCCCATCCCCGACGGGCAGCCGATATGACAAACAGATTGCTGTTCTTGGGGCGGCGTTTCAGTCATACTTATCGAAGCAGCGGGCCTTCATCATTGGTGCCGGGGCGCTGGGTTGCGAGCTCATCAAGAACGCTGCATGCATGGGTTTTGGAGGCATCTCCATTACAGACATGGACAGCATTGAGATCAGTAACCTTTCGCGCCAGTTTCTATTTCGTAACAGTCACATTGGGCAGCACAAGTCACGGGTGGCGGGTGAGGCGGCGATGGCTATTAACCATGACCTGCATGTGACCTCCTTTGTGGAGAAGGTTTCAGTCGAGACGGAGGGTATCTTTAATGAAGCCTTTTGGGACTCTCACGCGGTTGTACTAAACGCTTTGGACAATGTACAGAGCCGCAAGTATGTGGATAGTCGTTGTCTCTTTTACAAGAAGCCACTTTTTGAGAGTGGGACGCTGGGGACAAAGTGCAATGTGCAGTGTATCATTCCATACTGTACGGAGAGCTACAGCAGCAGCCATGACCCACCAGAGAAGGCGATTCCGCTCTGCACCTTGAAGAACTTCCCCAATGCCATTGAGCACACAATTCAGTGGGCACGTGACAACTTTCATGTTCTCTTTACCAATACGCCCGAGGAGGTTAATTCATACCTGCAGGACCCGACCACTTTTGCGGCAAATCTGGAGCGTGATCCTGCCACCAAAACAATGGCATTAAAAGCGGTTCGGGATGCGCTGTTGCGGTGGCCGATGGACGCAGCGGATTGCGTACGGATCGCGCGAAGGCTGTATCACGAGTACTTCAGTGATGCCTTCCGACAGTTGCTCTACAACATTCCGATCGACAAGCGCAATGAAAATGGCGAGCTTTTTTGGAGCGGTGCGAAAAAGCCGCCAACCCCGCAGGAGTTTTCACCCGATTCAGAGTTGAGCATGTCGTTTGTTTACCACTGTGCCTACTTGCTTGCGTGTGTGTACGGTCTGCCACCATTCACGCTTTCCCGAGCGGATGTGGCGCGTGTGGCGGGGGAGACAAGTGTTCCAGAGTTTGTTCCGCGTCAAGCCGTCTTTGCAACCAGTGAAGCGGAGAAGGAGGAATCTGTGGCAAATCTTGCTGCTGAAATTGGCTTGCAGGATCTGCCGCCGGTGAGTGAGTTTCATGGGCGTCGCATGGTTCCCGAGTTCTTTGAGAAGGACGACCCGACCAACCATCATGTGGAGTATATCACAGCCTGTTCCAACATGCGTGCCGTCGCATACAACATTCCTCCTGCGGATGTCCATCATACAAAGCGCATTGCAGGGAAAATTATTCCAGCAATGGTGACAACCACAGCATTGGTCACGGGTCTGGTTGGATTGGAGGTACTCAAACGTCTTCTCATGACCCAACGGCAAGAGAGGAGTGGGATGCCGGCCAATGCGGTTCCCACGTATGAAGAGATACAGAAACAGCTTAGCATATACCGCAATGCCTTTGTGAACATTGCACTGCCTTTTATTGCCTTTTCTGATCCCATCATTGCCTCTGGGGCGACATACCCGTTACCGGATGGCACTTCTGTTCGCTGGGGTATTTGGGACCGTATTGATGTGAATGAGGGACGCGATCTGACTGTGCAGGAGTTGGTCACTGTGCTCGAGAGCCGTTACCAGGTGGAACTTTTCATCATTGCCCTCGCAAGTGGAAAGATAATTTACTCCCAATTTGGCAACACGAAGGACCGTGTCAAGCCTGTCTCCACTGTGGTTCTGGAGAAGGGAGAGCAACTGCAGGACGGAGAGGACTGTTGCTGTCTGGTCGCAACGGGTAGTATCAGTGATGTCGACGTGGATATACCCGTGATTCGCTACCGTTTCCGCAACTTTTAAGGTCGCCAATGAAGTCACAATGAATGAATGAATGAATGAGGGAGAAAGGGGGGAAAAAAAAAAGAGAGAGAGAGAGAGAGAGACAGAGAGACAGTGCGATTTCTTTTTTTTTTTGCTTGTTGTTTGTTTAAGTGTCCGTGTGGTTTTGTGAATGTATGGAGGAGGATATGAGAGGCGGGGTAAGAGTGTGACGGGACCCCAGGCGAAAATAGTACAAGAGGAAGGGGAAAAAAAGGAAAAAAAAAAAAAAATAATAATAGAAAATCAATCAAGAGGACGGAGGGATGCGGGAATGAAAAGAAAAGAGGCGAAAGGGGGACGTTGTTTGTAGCACGTGTGAGGCGTGTGCGGGGCATATGGGATGCACAGGCCAAATGAAACCGAAATAATGCGGGGAAATTTGAGGGAGGAAAAGAATGAATTGAAGGGCGTGCAGGGGCCTCCTGCTTGTGAAAGCCATCACGCATTTTACTAAATGTGGGCCTGCTCCAAAGACTTTTAAACGTGCGACTTTCTTTATAAACCTCCTTAAAAAAAAATAATAATTGGTGTTTGTTTTCCTTGGTGCAGTGGTGGCGTTGGGAGAACCCTTTTGTCGTTGTTGCTGTTTTTGTGGGCGATGACATCTCTGTCGCCGGGTGCATGCACACAAACTCATACACACACACACACACACACACACACCCCTCGTCTCTTCCTCCCCTTCTTCTGTTTCTTCTCTCACTTCCACACGTATGTACTCCCTTCCTTTTTGTGTGTCGATGTATGGTTCCTTACAGCGACGGTGGCGATGCGTTTCACTGTGGGTTCACGCTGTGGCTACAGCCCCAACCTCACCTCGCTTACAAACCAATTCAACCGCAGTGAGCGACTCCGCAAGTGGGGCAGCGTAGGTTCTTCGCCGGGGGTCCCACGCATTCCACGACTGGAAGCCAAGTCCATCGCCATTCTGCACGAGTCGCCAAAGGTGTTGTTGGCTGGACGGAATCACTGCAATAACTTTGATAGCAATCAGTACATGCTGATTAATAAGGCCACAAAACAGTGTATGCTGATTGACGCTGCCGATGACTGGCCGGACGATTGGGCCGCCTTCATTGCGTCTTCCTCTCTCAGACTGACGAACATCTTTCTTACTCACTGTCATATTGACAATATCATCAACTTGAATGCTTTTCTGAGCATCTGTGGACGACAGCAACAAGAAGAAAAAATGGATGGAGAGGGCAGGGGAGATGTTGATTGGGAAAACGGGGAGAGTGATGGGAGTGAAAAAATTGGTCTTATATGGTGTGCTGCAGAGGAGTGTTGGGTGCAAAATTTTGGGCGTGCGTGCGAACGTTACCGCCGATTTGAAGAAATGCATTTAACGTTGCCCATGATGCGCCGGAACCTTTACACACCCCGACACGTGAAGGACACAGCGACATTTGGTTTATCTGATCCGGGTAATGGTAGGAATGGGTACTTTCGACGGAAAGACATGTTACTTTCAACTGCAACGAATCGGGCTTCGTCGTTTATCGACTTTGGGGATGGTGTGCTGCTGTATTACATCTTCTCCCCAGGCCATTCACCAGGCCACATGATGCTGCACGCACCCACAGAAAAGCTCCTCTTCACCGGAGACCTTCTTTTTTACAGCAAAGTGGGCCGCGTGGACTTACCATGGGCGACAGGAGCCCGCCTTGCCGAGAGCCTGCGTTTGTTTGAGGCCATGCCGGATAACACTGTCGTGTTGCCTGGTCACGGACGCATGACAACGCTGGGAAGGGAGCGGCGGGAAAATAGGGCGCTGCAACAGTGTTACCAGCGGCAGGAGATTGGGCAGCAGGAGGTTTCTGTAGGATTCAATGAGGGTTATCTTTAATTTGGTGCAAGCAAACACACACACACACGCACACACGCAAGGGCCCTTCACATCTGGGCGCATGTTTTTTTTTTTTCATTTTTGGCGTCTTGTTTCTTTGTAAAAAAAAAACAAAAAAAACAATAACGTGGCATTCTTCCCGCCCCTGTCGACATTGTTCGTCAGTGCCAACTGCCGCTGCTCTCCACGCGGCTACAGTTCTCCTTTTTGTTTTACCTATTTTTGCCTTTTTATATATATTCATGGGAATTGCCGCGAAGGGGCAGTTTGTGCGGAGACGGAAGGGGAACAAGTTTAGGTCACAGTAGAAGATGGGTTTTCCTGGGGTCCTATTTTAAATCACCGAACCGGCAAGAAGAACTCACTCGCGGTGTGTCTTAAATAGGTGTTTCAATTATTGCGTGTGTGCCGCATTGGCTTCACACCATTTCCGTAAAGGAACATCGAGGCGCCTACGAGCCCGTCTTGTTGATTCAGTTTAGGCGGGAGAGAAGGGAAATAGTATGTCATCCTTTTTTTCTTTTTCCCAAAAGTTTGAGAAGTAGGCAAGCGCACCTCAAAAACGAAGGCGAAACAAGAACAACAGCAAAAAGGAGATCCTTCTGGAACCAGCTCCTGCCGTTCATCGAAACGCTCTCCGGGCGGAGCCAGCAACCGTCATCATCAGGATTTGAAACTCGGTTATTTTTCAATTAAGAGGTTGTACTCATAAAACGATTCTGTTCAGAGTACGGTCTTATTTCCCATGTGGACGCAACCTCTGGAAGTTGCCGATGTGGGGACGCTGTCCATTTTGGGAATCTATTTTTTCTCTGCACAAGGGATTTTGACCGCAAGTCCGTGTGGCTCAATGGAAGAGCATCTGACTACGGATCAGAGGGTTGCAGGTTCGAATCCTGTCACGGATGACTTTTAGAAGATGTTTTTCTTTTTTAAAGAAAAAAAAAAACACCCCCCGTGGGGATCGAACCCACGACCACACGGTTAAGAGCCGTGCGCTCTACCGACTGAGCTAGAAGGGCCTCACCAAAAAATGTGTGAGATTGTTTTGGAGATATTTTGTCGTTCTGAACTCCATACGGCTTTTGGGATCTCTGGTAAAATTCGAAAGTCTCATTGTCAAGCCGGAGTGCGTGCATGTCAAACGTGCACCATTAGAGACTCTGTAACCTCCTTGTGCGAGGGGCTTGGATATCCGAGCGGCGAAAGTGTGGACAAGCGAAAGCTCTGCTGCGTAGACTTGGTGTTCTGCTTGGCTGCGCGTCGGTTCCAATCATGAAAGTGCCACTGAAGAGAGGCTCCTTCAAACCGTTAAAGCCAAGGAAACGTGTCAGGCCGGGAACGGAGCAGCTCACCTTGCGCGCGTTGCCGTTGCAGAAGCACACCGAGGAGCAAGTCAGGTCTTCTCGCCCCATGCGTCGTCGCGAGGCGATCCTTTTTTTTTTTTTAAATTTCCAGCGCAGAACTGCCCCTAGTAAAAAAAATAGGGGGAAAGAAAACGATCCCGGCAGGACTCGAACCTGCAACCCTCAGATCCGAAGTCTGATGCGCTTCCATTGCGCCACGAGATCGACGCGCACAAAGCGAACATTCTCCGTTGAAGCCATTCATCATCCAAATACATCGCTTAAACGGTGAGTGTCTCTCGTGGCAGACGAGGCCTCGTAGCACAGTGGCAGTGCACTGGTCTTGTAAACCAGGGGTCCCGAGTTCAATTCTCGGCGGGGCCTTTTCCTTTCTCAGCAATTCGGAAAACCATTTTTGAGCTAATGCAAAACTCGGACAACCACGCCGAGGCAAGATGGTCGAGTGGTCTAAGACGTGACGTTCAGGTCGTCATCTCTCCGGAGGCGTGGGTTCAAACCCCACTCTTGTCAACTTTTTCCTCCTTCGCAAAAAAGAATAGGAGGAAAAGGTTGCAATCGCCGGGAGTCGAACCCGGGTCACCCGCTTGGAAGGCGGGGATCTTAACCGTTGGACCACGATTGCCGCACGTCTCCGCTTCTTGACGTGAAAAAAAGAGAAAAATCCATGTGTAATTGTGACGCGTTAAGCGTTTATTGAGGAGTTTTGATTGCGGTAACGATTAACTCACCTGCAGTGCGTCATCAAGAAAGCGCCAAGTTCGCAGTAAATTTTGCGCAGGATCACGTTTCGATGATCCTTTCCTTTTTTCTTTTTCCCAGCACAGCGAGAGAAAAATACAATAAAAAACACCCCCCGTGGGGATCGAACCCACGACCACACGGTTAAGAGCCGTGCGCTCTACCGACTGAGCTAGAAGGGCTTCGGCGTCGACTCTTTCCCACCACACACACAAAGCAAATAAAGACCTTTTTGGAAGCTCTTGGAAAACGATACGCGGGGCGGGGTTCGAACCCGCGACTTTCTGCGTGTAAAGCAGACATCATAACCACTAGATCACCCACGCCCTCCCAAAGCGAATTCATTTATTTTACCGTCCGAATGAAATATTTCCTCAAACAAAAAAACGTGGTCCTACCAGGATTCGAACCTGGGTTTTCGGATTCAAAGTCCGAAGTGATAACCACTACACTATAGGACCGCCATCGCCGCACGACAAAAAAAGATAGATAGCTGAAAAAATGCGCACAATATTCGAAACAGCGAAACTCTTTCCGCGGTTTCACGCTCCTGTGGTCTAGTTGGTTAGGACGTTGGTCTTATGAGCCGAATATCGCGGGTTCGAGCCCCGCCAGGAGCAAAGTTTTATTTCTAGACGCTGTTGAGAAATCGAAGGGAATTGCTTTTCAAAAACTCGAAGTGCTTCTCGCTTGCAGTTAATTTTCCCTTGTTTTTGTTTTTGTTGAGTGTTCGGTTTCCAGTTATTGCGGCTCTTCCAGTCCCCCATGGTTATTGGGAGGATAAAAAGCAACACCTCATACAAGAAAAAGGAGAAACGCAAACACTTATTTCAATTTTACAGATTTTTGCTCAACGTATCCTTTCGAGGTAAGCTGTTTACCAAAATGAAAGAAAGGAATAGTACAGAAACACATATGAAGATGTGTTAATCGCATGAATTCCTTTAGAGGAGCGCGATGGAAGCAACCAAAGGAAACGATAACGTCAAGATGAATATTTTTATTTATGCCGCACCATCCGCCCCCTCTCTTGATTCCCACCGTTGCGGCGGGGTCTTGTGGCTGGAGAGGCCCAAATTCCGCCACTTCGTAAGCTATAAAAATAGGTGTATCCGAATAGAGCGTTCATCATGTCACGAGAGTGGGGCCACCAGAATATATAAATATACACAATATATGCGGAGCAAACAACGAGGGTTTGGCGAACGCACTGCCTCTCCGTTTACTCATTCTCCCTTTCCGTCGTATTTTATTTCCTTCGGAAATTTGGGGATCCGGCCAGCAGCCCAGACGAATAATCCTTCCTTTCGCTTTCCTGTTTGCGTGTGTGTCACAGGCACGGTTTGATTCAAGTGGCATTGGCTCCTCCACGCAACCACATCCTTCCGTTGCCGCATTTGCGGGGCAAGTGAGTTTGGACATCCAGAGCACACACACACACACACACACGGCCGCGACGAGAGGGACGGGGCGCATCCAAGTCCACGGCGCAGTCCTTCACTTCTCTCCGCCCCGACGGAATAGCGCTGCGCCTCGCAGCGGGTCGTGGCGGGTGGCGTCCCACACTCACAACTGAGGCACGGCGCACAAACAATCGTCGTCGCGGACCATCGGTGCCTCTAGCAGAAAAGAAAAAGAAGAAGAAGTGGGGGCGTGTCAGCAGCACAGCCAGCAGAGGAATAATAAAAAGGGACACGGAGACACACGGCGGCAGTGGACACGGCACAGACGGAAAAGAGACTGTAGTGATTTACCGAAACAGAAAAAAAAAAGTGCAAAAAAATTAAAACAAAAAAACAATTGACTCGGCAGATATGCCATTTCACGTGCCACGCAGCACAATACAACCGTGTTCTTGAGTTTATACATACCGCCCGCACACACAAATAAAAAAAGGAATTGTACTCTCCCACCAGCCCACACAACATCCCTCACATTCCATGCGGCATCCGGCCTGCTCCTCCACTCCTCCTTTCGTGCAGTCCGTGGGACGCACAGCAATGAGGCCGGCACCGCGTGTAGGCAAAAAAAGCAACAAAAGAGGGGGAAGTACGTCACTCGTGACGGTGTTTGGCAAGCAACCATTTGGGGGAAAACACACAAATAGGAATGCTGATTATTTCAACAGAGCACCGGCAAACAAAAACAAAAAGAAAAACAGAAAACGAAAGAAAAACCATAAAAAAACAGAAAACCATAAACAAAAACAAAAAGGAACACATGCTTAAAAGAAGAAAAAAAAAAGCCTGCTTGACAAAGTTGGGTGAGTATTGCTGGGAGCTGCACAGTTGTTGTTCCACGAAAAGCCGCCATTCCACTCCTCCCTCACACCTCAGCAGAGAGCCGCGGTGCCCCACAGCCCCAGAAGCAGCAGCAACAACACCCGAGACACACACCCATGCACGGTGCTGTCACCAGTTAGAGCCATGGCCGCCAAGTCGCTCAAATGCCCGTGGTCAAGCAAAACGTCATGGTCCAAGAGCGATGTGGCGTTGGACCCCGATGGGATCTTGGTTTCCCCAGGCGTTGTGCTTTTATTACCCGGCGCGGCATCATCGCCATCCAACACTTCATCATGGCCTTTAGCAGTTTTCGGGTCTGTGCTGGGCTCATGGGCGGCTGTGGCACCGTCCATGGGCGCCACCTCGGTGCTGTGGGATGAGTCGGGGCCGCTGCTCGCACCCACGGCAGTGTGGGGATTTGTGTCCTTCCTCTCCTCGGGGTCAACGGTTTGTTCGTCGCTGGTGGGCGGGGCGGGATGGAATGACGACTTTTCCACGTCCTCTGAAGCATCAGATAGAGTGCTGTGCTGCGGCCAATCTTCAGTGGTTTTCCTCTGCGGAGTGGCGACAGCCGCCTCTTCAGCCTGCTCCGTCATCGGCTGAACCACGCTGAGAGACGAGTGCTCCTGTTCACGTTCAAAGTGATCCTCAGTGGCAGGCACATCGGTTTCACGTACTTTTTGAGGACTGTCTTCTCCCGCTGTTGGAGAGAATGAGGACGCCGAGCCAACACTGCTGGATGCCACTTCTTCCACTTTCCCCTCGGCGGCTGAGGTGGACGAGCCAGCGGGGTCGGTGGAAGATGCCTGCCGGGAACCTGCTGAATGCTTTTCATTTTCCGATTTTTCCGGTGATAAGTCTTGTTTTTGTGGTGATGGTGTGGCGTCTTTTTCAGAG